CAAACCTGTACATTCAGATGCTCAGAAATGCTGTTTAGCAGATACAGTATTAGTGTAAAGTGGATTCAGCACCCATTCAAGTAAGAGAAGTGCAAGAACTGCAACAGCAAAGTTTAATTTTAAATTCAACTACTTTTAAAAATTTGGCCCACTTCCATTGTGGAAGCATATGAAAAATGACAGCCACATAACTTGGGTCAACACTGGAAGTGAACTAGTAGGACCTGGACTGCCACAAAGAAAAGCACAGCAAAGGTGGATAGGTGATGCTGGACCCTGGTGTAGTCTTCTGCGTTTTGCTTTATGGCAGAGATGATAGATTTCCAACCATCAAAGGATGTTGGAAAATATCCCTATAAAATAGAAATGTCACAAAGTAGTATAGGCCAGGGGTTTGGCAGAGGTGATGCATTCATTACTCATGACTAGTGATGTCAAATATCCTGTCCAAACCTCTCCCAGCACTTACAAAGTGCATCTCAAGTGCAGAACTGTATTTCCTCAGCATCAAGATATTGTTTAAATGCTGGAAAAATGAAGCTCAATCCCAACAGAAGGGCTGAAAAAAATGACTGTGTGACTCTGTTGTTGCAGAGGAGCTAACGGCAAATTTAACCAGGGCTATCCTAAGCAGAGGGGGTGCAAACTCTGCCTAGGACTGCACTGTTATTGAACTTAACAAAGACTCTTCTAATGTAAGCTAAGGGTGTCAGGTTCAACAGCAAGTAAATCTCCACACACGTTTCCAGGGAAGCGTTATGCTTTATTAGACTACAGGTCTGTTACCATGTCCACAGGGTTATTGTTAGGAATGACAATAGAGCGGAACCACCCCTTCATATAGCAGGATGAGGCAAATGGCTAAGCAAATGAAATCCGAGTGCGCGGGTGGGAATTCTCCCGGCGGGAGGTTACATAATAAGCGGGAGAGTCTCAGTGCCCCATGAGAGCCGAAATATATATTTTTTAAATAAATGTTTTATTCCCTCTCCTGAAGAGGAGAGATATTTCGCTTAAAATTCAGAAAAATAGGAAGGGTATATAGAGGGATAAAGAAAAGAGTTGAGTGGTGTTAATATATTAGTACATTATTCTTTTAGTATTAAAAGTTAAAAGTCCATAATTTCTTCTGCAGTCAGGCGCTCTTCTTTTCTTCTGGTTCTGTTAAACAAAGCAATTAATATGTTAATAATGTCCTTCTGAGATTAATTTCCCTTTCAAAGCGTAATCCAAAAAAAAGAAAGAGTTTCTAGATTTTGGGGTCTTTTCCTCTTTTTTCTCTCAGGTTATACTTCGAACCAGTCGCTCCTCCAGCTTCCTCGTCCTTCACCTCTCCCTCCGAGCTGCTGTCTTCCACGCTTAATGCCGACATCCACTTGGCCAGTTCTGCCCCTTCTTCTTTGCTGGTGTGCCTTTTCAAAAAGTCTTGAGCCTTGAAGATAGAGTCTATTTTCTCTCTTTTATCTTTGAACTTGAAAACCAGTCCTTCGGGCACCAACCATTTGTAACTCGTTTGATGATTTTGTAAGAACATGGTCCCTTTATATTCCTTTCTTTTCATTCTGATTTCAAATGGAACGTCTTTAACCGAAATATTCTTTAACCGAAATATTCACACCAACGGTGGAACGCAAGCCCTCCCCCCGTCACAAGGTCAGACAGATAACTCAGTCTGGTAGCACTAGTTCTCACGGTTTCCCTATCATTCTTTACGGCAAGCGGGCAGAGCAGCGAGCAAGCTATGAGGCATGCGTCGTAGCGCCAGGGTCAGAGAAGGGAGCAAGCAAAACATGGCAGCTAGCTGACATCCTGCCCCCTCAAAAACACATCAACCACCTCCAGGGACAGCTGGGAGATCTCCCGGTTTCTCCGGGAACCGGTCGTGGAACTTCCGCAGGAGATTAGGGGCCCGCACATTCTTTCCCGTCACCCACTCCCGATGCTGGGGACCCCAATGTACCCATTCTACCAGATAATACAATTGTCCGCATTTCACTTAAGAGTCCAGAATGTCGGATATTTCATAATGTTCCTCACCCTCCACCAGGATAGGAGGGGGCACTGTCGGTTCCGGGCGCCATGGATTAGTTGCTGGACTGGGCTTAAATAAACTGAAATGGAAAATTGGATGGACATTCTTTAAGTTCTTTGGCAAGTCCAATTCTACCGTTACATCATTAATCAACCTTACAACTTGAAACGGGCCAATGTATTTCCACACCAACTTCCGACAAGACTGGGAAAGCCGCAGATTTTTTGTAGACACATATACAGAATCCCCAGGCTGCGGAACCCAACCCTCCACCCTTTTCTTGTCAGCCTGATGCTTGTAGGCGGCTTTGGCCATGTCCAATGTCTCACAGATTTTCAGCCACGCCTTCCTCAACACGGTACTCCATTCAGACGCCTCCCCCCCTGTCCCCAGTGTTGAAGTCAGAAAGGGGATCGGGGGACTGTCATAACCAAGAGCAGCTTTGAACGGTGACATCCCTGTGGATGCGTGATGAGCATTGTTATAACAGAATTCAGCAAGAGTCAGTAAGTCAACCCAATTGTCTTGTTGGTAGTTCGTAAAGCACTGTAAGTATTGTTCAAGGGTTTGATTAACCCATTCCGATTGGCCATCAGTCTCTGGGTGATAAGAACTGCTCAGCCCCCGTTCTATGCCCATAAATTCCATGAGCTCCTCCCAAAACTTTGAGACAAATTGGGGGCCTCTGTCCGTTATTATTATTATTTTTTGATGCTTCTATGTTAGTAAATTAGTTATCTTGAGAAGACTTTCTGAGCATCTTCATTTCTTCAAAGAGCAATTTTCAGAGTCCTTCTGCCCTTACTTTGGCTTTCTGTCTCTAAAGTCATACACAGTTTTCATCGCACCCATAGCTGCTTTAGCTGCAGAGTCCTCGTCTGATCCAGAGGTTACTGAGTCACTTGACTTGGTTTCTTCCTCCTTAGATTCTTCCCCCGTTCCCAGCTGGCATCTCAAAAATTCCTTGGCTTTAAAAATGGAAACAATCTTCTCTCTTTTATCATTGATTTTAAAGATGACCCCCTCGGGTATCCCCCACCTGTACTGAATTCCGTTGATTTGAAGAAAAGAAATTAAATCCTTGTAGGTTTTCCTTTTTTGACGAATTTCAAATGAAATGTCCTTTAAAGTCTTAATAATTTTACTTCCTTGTTTCAGTGGGGTTGCTGAAGTTGCTTTTAATATGGCATCTCTGGTCTGTCTTCTTGCAAATCTTACCACAATCTCTCCAGGCAGGCTATTTTTTTTAATATAATTGGAGTATGCCCTATAGACAGTCTCCATATCTTTTATTATTTCTTCCGCTGATAAACCTGCAACTGGAGCGATAACCTTGGCCAGAGTCTCCTTCAAATCTTTTTCAGTTTCAGGGACCCCCTGGAACCTAAGAATCATGTTAGCCTTTTCCATCTGGAGCTGTAACAAACGATTTTCTTGAAGGTTTTGCCTTCTTTCAACTTCTCCCACTCTTTTCTTCATCTTTTTATTACCGGTGCCCATCTCTACTATTTTTCCTGTTACTTGTTCCACTTTCTTGTCTGTTTCTGCCAACTGACGCTGCTGTAAAGCGAAGTTTTGATTCAACGAGGTCAGCTGCCGGTTAATACCATCGAGTTACTCTACCACCGGTTCCTTCCTCTGGCCTCGGGCTTTGACTCCCCGGTTTCGATTTTAACTTTCCTCGTGTCACCGCCATGTTTCCAATTTGTTATTATTTTGTTAGGCAGTGTGTGGAGCCTGAAAACGTGTTTGAGGAATGCTTTGGCCAATGTCCATGCCGTAGGCACACTTGGGAATGGAATGAAATGAGCTTGTTTGGAGAATAAATCCACAACTACCCAAATAACCATCATGGATTTGCTAGGGGGTAAGTCTGTGATGAAATCCATGGAAATCACCTCCCACGGTCTATTTGGAGTCGGCAATGGTTTCAGTAATCTGGGGGGTTTCCCCTTTCGTGGTTTACACATGATGCAAGTTTGGCAGGAGTGCACATACAGAGATAAATCCTTGCGTATTTGCGGCCACCAGAATTGGCGTTGCAGCAGGTGTAGCAATTTCACAAAACCTGTGTGGCCAGCTGGCTTCGATCCATGCACCAGTCCCATTACCTCCCCCCAAAATAGTTTTGGAACAAAAAGTTTTGTGTCTTTATACCAGCACCCGTTTTCCCCAAACACTAAATCCCCCGCCACCTCCACTTCCTGTTTGTCCAGCTCCGAAAAGGTGGCGGCGAACTTGGCTTCCCACTCACAAAACATGGCAGCTAGCTGACAAGGGAGCTGAGTTTCATACAGATTTATGGATTATCTCTTATGCACCATCACAAATCTTAGGAGAACAAAAGAGGTCTCCATAGGCCATCTTTATAGCAGTAAGCTCAGTTTTGGAAGTAAAAGCATTCAATGCTCCAAAGAGCCAGCATGGCATAGTGGTTAAGAGAGGCAAACTCTGATCTGGAGAGCTGGCTTTGATTGCTCACTCCTCCTCCACCTGAAGCCTGCTGGGCCAGTCCCATTTCTCTCAGGACTCTCTCAGCCCCACCTACCTCACAAGGTGCCTGCTGCAAGGAGAGGAAGGGACGGCGATTGTCAGCCGCTTGAGACTCCTTACGGCAGAGAAAATGGGGTATAAAAGCCTGCTGTTCTTCTTTCTTCTGCTTGAGGTGATTTTTCTGCTTTTAAAGGCCCTTCTGGTAGCAATTTCACGTGGTCAGTAGCTACATTACAAAAGCATCTTATCATTTTCAGAATGTGAATAATGTATGCAAAGCAAACGTTCGTTAAGACAAAAGAATGCAGAAGAAAAAGAGTGACGGATCATCTACTGTAATAATACAGTCTATGGCATCCAACATGATAAGCACAGTACTGGGAAAAACTACCTATCTTGTATTTCAGAGAGCGGCACATTTTGAAATTGGACAAAATCTTTATTTTTGATCAAAAATACTTATAGAAATGCTTGCTCTTGATGAAATTATACATTTTTCTCTTTTTTGTTTTAGCAAAATAAATTAATATACATGTCTTCTGTTTAAACTCTATATAGAATTAAAAAGATTTTACATTTTTGACTGAATTAACGTTGAGTCCAGTTGGGTCTTTAATATGGTCCTGCTTTGCTTGCTTTTCCCCTTGGAACTAAATTGAGATGAAATTGCATGATGACAAAACAGACTGACACACACACCCCCACCCACAGGTGCACATTCAGCAATTTAATTTTTTTCTAGAGATGCCCTTTATTTCTCTTTCCCAGCCGGCTTTTACCTCCACTGACCATGAACTGGCATTTACCTCTGGGAAGGGCAGTGTGATGGGATCCATAAAATATCCAGCAGTTCTATTATTATCATTATAATAATTAAATATAAATATAAAAACAAGCTGTACAATATCCTTTATATTTTTGGCAGTTGAGGAGGGAGAGCTCACCCCTTTCCAAGAAAGCCCTCTGGTGAAAAGGGGACTCTCAGTCATCACTAGCATCGTTATTGCTAATTATCAGGCAACACTGGAACATTTAAATAAAAAACATTTTTTCACCACAGAAACCAACAAATATGGCACTTTTCTTCTTTGGAAGGCCATTTGAATGCTCTGACGTTGCTGTGGCACTTGGCCTCTGGTCCCTCCTTGCTTCCCTTCCCTGGGAAGTGGGGCTCCAACCAAAGAGAAAGGCCCCTTGGGATTTGCACTGCCAGGAGTTGACCAGAAGAGAGAGGCAGGGGTGGAAGGGCTCCTTCCCCTGCCTACTCGGTCTTTCATGCCAGGAGTTTCTGACTTCTCAAGGGACGCAAGACGTCGCCTTTACCCTTTGGGAGTTCCTTCATAATTCCTTGTCACAGTAACAAAACAGCAAAACACCCACATTCCCCACCTGTCTCCAAAAATGCCTTTCCCCCCGTTTGGTTTCATTTTTGGTTTCTTTCTCTACCTTAACAGCGCATGCTGACCCACCACAGTCCGCCTGCAGCAGTGCATGGAGAGGGGCTGCTCTTTAGCACTGGTAGTGAACGTGTTGGTGCTGGTGGACGTTGCCTTCCACATAGGAGTGAGTGTGACTGTGCATGTCCGTGTAGGTCTTTGTGTACATTTTGGAAGCCGTGGCTGAGGCCAGGGCAGGCCCCGGGGACAGCAAGTGCTGCTGCTGCTGCACGAGGTATTCCTCGTAGTGAACGGAGGACATACAGTCTTTGTCTGGGACCTGGGCAATGCAGACCCGTTCCCGGGGGTGCAGCCTGTGGATGGGGGTTGCTGCTGGCGGAGAGCAGGGCTTCTTCTTGGCTTGGCAGAGCCACAGGAGGACGGTTCCCAAGATGAAGACCGCTCCGGCAGGGATCCCAATGATCACGGGCCACGGAAGACTGCCAGCAGAGGAAGGAGCCACAGGTGGACTGGGCGGCTTGGGATCTGGGCCGTCAGAAAGGTAAAGGACAAAGAAAAAGGTTAGCAGGAAACAGGCATAGGAGATTCATACCAGAGGTCAGACAGAACGCTGGAATTTGGCACACGGTTTTCAACAACCCAGCAAGGTGGAGTCTGGGGCAAACTTTGACCAGCACGATTCATAAGCAAACCTTGGCGCCTTTTTTTGTCTTAGAAGCATCCTGAGAGGAGGCAGTGGGGATGCTTCTTTGGCAGGATAAAGGGCTTCCTCGTGGCAGCATTCAGGGATATGGCAACAGCCAGAAAGCAGAAGCAGAGCTGAGGAACCTGCGGGCTAGGCCTTCCTATGCAGAAAACTAAACTTGAGGGACATGCCTTGGTCCGGATGGTTTTGTGCAGTCCAGAAGACTGCAGGCAAGACTGCCCAATATGCTGCTCCCCACAGGAAAACAAGGCAAGCCTGAAGAGGCCTGAAGAGGCCATGGCAGGAGGTGTCTAATGGTGTTCCTTTGCCTTGGTAGTGAGGGGCGCATGGACAACGAGCAGCGAAGGGAGGAGCAGTGCAGTGCCCTCCCATTCCCCCCCTCCCTGCCTGCCCACTCACGTTCCTCTCATCAAAACTTTGCAGGATGAGGAGGGACACTTCTGGTATGGTGCGGTGAACGAACGTCTTTCAGGCTGCTCCTGAAGACGTTCGTCCTTTCTTGGCTCTATTGGAGCCCCTGGGTCCTAGTGACTGCTTTGGGCACCACCCAGACTCCTGGAGGGAGCTTGGGTAGCAAGAGGCTTGCTCGGGCATCCCGAAATCGGCAGGTTGTGGGAGTGGCCTGTGTTGCCCCGATGCAAGATCAAGAAAAGGAGCGGAACATGGTCGACATGTATCCACTACAGCTGCAACCTTCCTTTTAACTTTAGTTTAATAAGATAAGAAGCACATCGAATGAAGATATCAACTCATGTATTATCAAGCGGAAACTGCGTGAATTTGGATTTTATACCCCCAATAAATATTACCAATTATTAAAAAGCAGCTACGAAGAGTGTGGAGAAGAAACTTTGTTGCAAAATGGCAGGTGTAAGGAAAATATTTATCCTGTTTGAACTATCATCGTTGGTTGAGAGGAATAGTTGGAGAGCAGCTGAGATATTATGTTTTTGTGAAACGAATAAACAGGACTGATAGTCTATGTACGTGGAAGCTGTAAAATGGAGTTGGGATTAGGTGATGAAGAGTTAGACCCGGACACAGAAGTCGGTACTCTTACTTTGGAACAGTTTCGGAACATTTTAGTGAGAGAGATTACATAAGATGTAAAGGATGCCTGTAATAATCTGGTGGACAACTATCAAACTGTAAATCAAGAAAAGGAAAAAAATGGAGAGTGAAATCAATTTACCCAGAGATGTATTGAGGATCAGGAGAAGACAAGGGAACAGTCTGAAAATCGGTCAGTATTTAAGGAGGAAGAGATCCAGGAAACGGGCTTTGCTATAAAACAAATGATAGACTCTGTAATAGAAAAAGAAGTAAAAAACTAGCCCCCATTAAATGTGTTAATGAAAAGAAAGAACAAGAGGGGGAGGGAAGTAAAAGAGGAGTTTAGAACTGTATAAAGAAACCCAAAATGAACAAAAGAACGAGGACTGGTATCTTGAAATACGGAAGGAACCTGATGAGTACAAAGATTCAAGGCACCTGAAAGAGATTGAAAGGAAGAGGGATGCTATGGAAAGATGGGGAAGAAGGAAAAGACAAAAACTATGCTTCTTAAATAATGTAACCCTTTTTTTCCTCTTTGGGTATTCATGGCTTTTGGGGAAAAAAGAAAAGAAATGGATTGTGTAGTTATTATGAAGAAAGGATGGGTAATCTGTAACTTGTAACCTAGTAATAAGTTGATACTTTATTTTTATTATTGTGGTTCTGGTTGTTTGGTTTTATAACATCTTATTCTCTCTCTCTCTTTATGATAAGTAGTTGTGGACGCTAAGGAGAGAGAGAATAGGTGTATGTTTCACTTCATATTTTTATTTAGTATTTCCGGTTTGGTGTTGGTGAGGGTGAGATTATAAAGTTAGAAAATTTGGGTAGTCTTTACTTAGATAGTTTTTCAAAAGGGTGTATATTTTTTATTATTTGAGCGTTGGTAAAAGAAAAAAAAAGGAAAATAAAAGGAAAAAAGTGTTATAAAAACAACATAGAAGACAGTTCAAATAGGACTATAAGAAGGATCTAGGTATTATTGTATTTGGAGGATTTAGCTAAAATATAAATATTTTTGCATTTCCCTCAGATCTTAGAATCAACCTTGACTACTAATAGGGAATAAAATATTCCCTCTGGTCTGGCACTTTGGTGAGAATAAGATTTAGGAATAAGATCAAGCCTATCCTGGGAGACGATACCTTTTGAATCCTTTTACTTTTCGTTAACTAGTGTCACAAGAGGAAAAACTTTGCAGTTTGGTAATATATTTGCTATATTGTTACAGAGTGAGCAAGTATACCTTAGTTGTCCTAAAGAGGCTCTCTGTTGAAGTAACAACCGCGAGAAGGCTCAGATACAACATTATACTCTGCGCTTTTGATTCTTAAAAGACGGAACAAACCTTAAAATGCTGTCTAGGAAGTAGTTTAGTAAAGGAATAAGATACAAACTGCCCAAATAAATATGAAGACTTCATTAGCGTGATGATGACCGAGATATGACAATATTTATGTTATATAGAGGTACAACTTGGATCTATTGCAAGCTTTGTTGTCAGAGTAACATGTAAAGTCTTGAAATACGTGATATAGGAATTGATAAGGATAATATGATAGTGATGTGAATGTATATTTAACATATTAATCTATATCCGATTATTGTGATGTGCTTAAATTATAGGAGTCCTTTTGTGTGTTTGTTTTGTCTGGAAATCAATAAATAGATTATTAAAAAAAACATTTTGCAAGGCCTCTTAGGAAGCTCCTAAAGGAGAAAAGCAGAGGTGATTTTAGGGCTGCTGATTCAAGTACTGATTCCTGAAGCAAAGAAATACGGTCATGCTGTCGTACTGGGACCTGAGATAGTGTAGGCTACATTCTCCTTAAGAACAGCCTCCTGGTTCAGATCAATGGTCCATCCACGCAGCAGATGCTGACTTAAAATCAAACCAGGTATTAAGAGGGAAACAATCCCCCCTTTTTATTCAAGGAAATAATCAGTGGAGAGAGAGTCTGCTTAAGTGGGGCAAGTTCCCCCCCAGTCGTACTTTACGCTAGTGTTTCCCAATTGGTGGGTCGGGACCAAAAGTGGGTTGCAAAGCCTCTGAAAGTGGGTTGCAGACAATGCGCCCCCCCTTCCCCTTTCCACGGCTGTCTTTTGTATCTTGGAAGCCAAAACCTGACCCTGGAAGCAGGGTCTTCGATGTCACACGTTAGCTGGGATTCCCTGCCCCCCCCCCACTGCATATACATGTTGATCAAATAAAACGTGTCCTTTCTTAGAATCTCAGAGGGGATCCGACAGAGTATTAGGCAAAGGAGAGGCAGATCAAAAGCTGGAATGTGACCTTCATATACAAAGGCCCCATATGCAAAGAGTGCGCCTTGCTTGGGGTTCATAGTAAGGGAAGCTGTGCCAGTGTGGTGTCGTGGTTAAGAGCGGCAGACTCTAATTTGGAGAACCAGGTTTGATTCCCCACTCCTTCTCCACATGAAGTCGGCTGGGTGGCCCTGGGTCAGTCACCGTTCTCTCAGGGCTCTCTCAGCCCCACCCACCTCACAGGGGGTGTCTGTCTGTTGTGGGGAGGGGGAAGGGAAAGGAGTTTGTAAGCCGCTCTGAGACTCCCATGGGTAGTGAAGGGTGGGGGTGTAAATCCAATCTCTTCTCTTCTTCTTCTTATGACTATCTTCTTTTAAATTTCTTGTCAGGAGTCTCACTTGGGGTTGTCAAGAATATTTCTGCAGCTTTAAAAATTCAAGTGAACCTTTTTAATAGGGAAAATCTTAACTTTGAGGTGGTTCAGCTCCTAGGAGCTTATTTTGTGGCTGTCTGGGGCTTTTTAAAGCTGCATATATATTAAACATATTTGGTAATATTTTAAATCTTTTGGTCTTTTTTATTATTTAAAAAATCATTCCTGAATTTATTCGAAATAAATATATATCAACTAAAGACTCTTGTTATAAGGATATTGATAGGAGCTATATTGTTATATACGGTGCAGAGTTTGTAATACTGGAGTACTTTATACTGTTTTATATTCAGAAACATAACCCAGAAGCATAGGCCGGATTGTTTGGGAGTAAGTCCTTCTCAGTCATATATTGAAGGTAAGGGGACCAGGTGCGCTCAAAGAGTGATTTTGTTGTACAGAGATAATCTTTTGGTCTTTTGACACTCCTACAGAGCAAGCTTTTGCCTCAGCAAAGAAGAAACCCTGAACTTGGGAGAAGGAAGCACGAGAGAGAGAGAGGGGGGGGGGAAGAGGGGATGGCTGAGCAGCCCTATGGCACTCGATGGCAACCTTGACGGGTGCGAAGCGGAAGCGGAAGAGGAACCCGGCCTGTCCTTGGGGTGCCCCTTGTCCCTGCCTCCCCCCCCACACACACAGAGTGCAAAGAAGTCATCCTAGGCAGAAACTGACTCTGTTCCCTTAGTTTTGAGAAAAGTGCCGTTCTACAGGAAGCCTAGTCATCCACTCGTAAAGCAAACGCTTCCTCCCCTCACCTGGCAACACCGTCAGGAAAGCACTCCGGAAGCTGTATCCCATGGTGTTTGCGCCAAGGCAGATGTACATCCCAGCATCCTCCTCTTTCGCTCGCATGATCATGAGTTTGTTCAGGTAGGAGCCGTCTGGACGGGACCAGACCTCCCCTGTGGGCAGCACTACAAACTTCTGTCCCCCGACATCGATGGTCGAGTTGTACTTGTTCTCGGTCCCGTATTCCACCCTCTTCAGCCACTGGATGACGGGCTTCACGTCGCTCCTCACCTTGCACTGGAATGAGGTGGTCCCTCCGTAGTCCACTGTTGTGTTCACAGGGTGTGTCCCTGTAAGGATGGGCTTGGATCTTGTTCTTTCTGGGGGGGGGGGGAAGCAGCAATACTTTAAAAAAAACCCAAAACCCACACCTTTCAGAAATTACGTCTGTGCAGGCTGGAGGCTGCAGCTAGTGCAGAATGCTGCGGGCAGGCTGGTGATGGGCCTCCCTAAATGGGAGCACATCCAGGCTGTGCTGAAGGCTCTGCACTGGCTGCCAATAGCATACCGAATCCGCTTCAAGGTGCTGGTATTGACCTTTAAAGCCCTACGTGGCCAGGGTCCGACATACCTGCGGGACTGCCTTTCTCCATATATACCCCAGCAAGCACTATGGTCAGGAACACAACATCGACTGACCGTTCCTGGCCCTAAGGACGCCAGGCTTGCGGCTACCAGGGCCAGGGCCTTTTCAGTGGTGGCTCCACACTGGTGGAATGAGCTCCTGGAAGAGATCAGGGCCCTGCAGGACCTTTTGCAGTTCCGCAGGGCCTGTAAGACGGAGCTCTTCCACCAGGCTTTCAATTAGGAGCTGCCACTCCTCTACCACCAACAACATCCGTGGTTTGGGTTGACTCTGGTGCTGGGGAGGGTTTGCATTATATCATCACACCAAGCTGAAGACCACCGATGCCGATGAAAATTGTCAGTACGCCATCAGAATCATTCAGAGATTACCATCAAAAGTGTATCATCACTAGCACTTTAATTGTTAATTGTTGGATTGTTTTTAATGGTTAATGCTGTTTAAATTTTGTACATGGTTTTTATGGTGCAGGGTACCAATGCTGTAAGCCGCCCTGAGCCCGCTCGTGGGGAGGGCGAGGTATAAATCAAAGCAACAAACAAACAAACAAACAAACAAACGAGCAGATTTCCCAGTGGCCACGAGTGCATGTCACAGGATCATCTTACTTCTCACCCTAAGTCTCCCTCTGTTAGAAGCTGGGAAGATCAGGCTACAGCACAGTGTGGCGCATTCAGCACTGATAATAATGAACTGAGGCACAACTGACAGTTTGGGGCTGAAACAACAGTGGTCATGACCAGTGCTCCCTCTAAGATGAGTCAGTGTGAGCTAGCTCACAGTTTTTTAGCCTCCAGCTCACACATTTTTGTCTTAGCCCAGGCAGGATGGTTCTAGAGCAAACTATTTTATGCAGCAGCCAGATTACTTGCTCACCCTTTTAATGCCAGAAGCTCACAAAGTAGAATTTTTGCTCACAGGACTCCTCAGCTTGGAGGAAGCACTGGTCATGACTGCTGGAGCCTCTCTCTGATCCTCCCACCCACCTGACACGCTTGCCTGGGGAAACCTGTGCACGCTCCTGTGCGAGACCCAGAAACGATTTGCCTGAACAAGGGAGGGACCTGCCGGAACGTCGACCGGCCTCCCTCCCTCCCTCCTGTGCCACCGGCTCTGGTCCCGCGGCTGCCAGCGTGCCCCCAACAGCTCTACTTCGCCTGCCCTCCTTGTTCCTACACATCCTCACCACTACTTGCACATCACGGCAACCAAAAATGCCATCTACAATGCTCTATGCAAACTCTGTACCTGTCCAGACATCCCAGCTAAGGTTTCAGGGGGCTTCAGCCCCAAATTATTATTTCTTAAATAAACAAAAGTTATCGCAAAGCCTTGGGTAGCCTCAGGTTTGCAGAACCCTGCCTGGCAGGTCCCCACTGGCTTGGTGGCATGGCTGTAGCCCCTTGGGCACCAGGGTCGGTCCTTTACTGCCACTGGACACAGAGGCCGTCACTTTTGCCAGTGGGGTGCATATTTACAAAGAGCACAAGGAGTAGGCTGTGAGGGGACAAACTACCCTGGCGTGCCCGTGGCAGACGTAAGGAACGACCAAGGGAGGGGGGAGAGGAGGGGAGGGGGGGTGTCACTTCCTTCTGTGCCACCAGTGAGCAGGATCTCAGGAGGAAGATTTAAGAGTGCAAACGGGATAAGCCCGGAGCCACCCCACAGACTGCCGTTCAAGCAGAAGCCCTCGTCTGCCTTGGTCTGGCCTGCAAAGGCTAATGAAGACAGTGGAGAGCTGGATGGAAAGGAAGCAGCAGCAGAAGTGGGGGCAGAGAACAACGTGCAGCAAGGGCTGCCTGGTTTTAATGGAGTGGAAATGACACATCTGACGCTGGGATGGAACTGGATTCATTTCTCTGTCTTTGCTCCTGGCTTTGGTGTAAACATATGTTTTAACTGCCTCCACACAGCTGCATCTTTATCATTCCCAGATGTCTAACAGGTTCATACCCTCTGTTCACAACAGAATCCTTCCAGATGTGCTTTTCATCCCCATTTTTCTACAGAAAGAGAGTTATTTGAGGCTGATTAGGGCCTGGGGAATGTAGGACTACAATCAAAAGGTACAAGTCAGATCTATTGTCATTAATAACAATGCTGCAATTAACTTCCACTGATGTGACTTGGACGTAAACGAGTGGGTTGTCCAACTCCTGTCATGTGCTCCAAGTGGTGGACTGTGGTGGTGGACTGCCTGCCGGCCAGGGCCACCATGGGGTTTTGCTGTAGCCTCTTTGCTCATACCCCTCCCTCTTCTGGCCTCTTTCGCCTCCCTCCTTTTCCCCCTGGAATGCACTTCAGGTTTCTTCCCCTTATCTCCCTGCCGTGGCCTTGAGCCTGTGCTCTACCACTGCCACTTTTGCTGAGAACTTCAAGCCGTTTTTCTGAGCGTGCTGGCATGCCCCCGCTTATTGGCTCGCACTCATCTGGGGACCTGTATGAACTGAGTATAAATATTTGCTTTCCCGCCTGGACTCCATTCTTGACACGGATCGTGTCTAAAGATGACCCAAGTTCCTCTCTCAATAAACTGAACCTTCTTACAGGACTGTTGTTGAGTTTGTTTGACTCGGGACTCGGACACTGCCCTGCCCACCGTAAGGCCCTGCTTTGCAACGGGGTGCTGGGGAGGATAAGCTGACCCTAAGACCTGGACTTGAATAGACAGGTAACATGATCTTCAGGAGTGCTTGTATCATCTGCCCCTATTTAAAACATACCAAACATCCAGCACTGCACTGTCGTAACAACTTTGGAGGCCACATATGTCAAAAAATGTTCTGTGTTGACTTCAGCATGGAAAAGAGACATTAGAAGCAGTCCAAAGAGGCTGGAAAGCCAACATGGCAGAGGAGTAGCGCAAACTATAGAGCCCACTGGAAGACTTATGAGCTGCTGCTGCTGCTGCTGCTGACAGCCGCAAAGAAAGGCTCTGTCTTGGCAACCGGTGCATGAGCCAGTTCCCACCCACCTCGGCTTTTAAAGGTATTTCAGCACCTGCTGACTCCAGTCAATTTGGTGTGGTGGTGAAGTGCGCAAACTCTAATCTGGGAGAACCGGGTTTGATTCCCCACTCCTCCCCCACTTGCACCTGGCTGGATGGCCTTGGGCAAGCCGTGGTTCTGATAAGGGCTGTCCTTAAAAAAGATTCAAGAGCTCTCTGAGCCCCGCCCACCTCACAGGGGGTGTCTGTTGTGGGGAAGGAGACTGTAAGCCGCTCTGAGACGCCGATTGAGGGGCAGGGTATAAATCCAACCTCCTCCTCATCCTCCTCATAAATCTGAGCCTTTATTGTCTCAGGAACAATTAGCTGCGATACTCCATCTGGACCTTTTCCAGTCTGGTTTCAGGCCGGGTTTTGGGACAGAGACAGCCCTGGTGCCCGATGCCTGAATGCAGACAAATGCCATATGCTCCTTTATTGTTCCCACTAGATCAACCTGCAACCTTTGATACACTAGATTATTCTATCCTTTTGAGGTTTCTGGAGGCAGAAGGAGGCATCGGGGGTGGGGGTGGGAATAGGTTTAAATAGGGTTGCTCTGTTGGAGTTCAGCTATCTCCAGTGTGGGTGCTGTCTTGTGCCGTTCCAAAGAATGAGGCAAGGACTAAAGCCATTCCAGCTCTACCTTTGCCAATGGGCTCAGCTACTCTTCATAGTTAGGAAACATAGTTCAAAGAAAGCCCAGAAGCTTTCTGGATACCCAGTAGCCATCACTCTACATTTACAACTTGGGACTTAGCCAATAAATCTACCTATTTTGTACTGGTTTGTAGCATATCTTACATTGTATTACTTGCATTACAGAGTTGGGAAGATTTCTGGAAAAATCACTCTATGTATTCTGCTCCTCAGCACTAAAGGTTTACTTGGAAGCGAGCCCACCTGGGTTCAGTTACGATTGGAGCATTAGCCAACCGAAGCAGGGAAACGGCCTCCCGCCTCCAGTCCTAGTTCAGTACTTACGGATCACTTCCACTTTGTAGGTGGCGTTGATCTCCCCAATTCTGTTGAAGACCCGGCAGGTGTATTTCCCGCTGTCTTCGGGCTTCAGGCTCTTCAGGTTCAGTGTCCACTTCTTCCTTTTGTTCTCACCAGTTTCCTGTGGGCTGAGAGGCCTGTTGTCTTTTAGCCAGCTGATGTCAGGCCGAGGATTTCCACTGGCCACGCATTTCAGGCGCACTGAGCTACCCACTGGTCGGGCAATCACCCTCCGCCTCATCTTGGCAGGCTGAGTGAACCTAGGTCGAGCTACAAAGATAAAGCCAAAGATCTGTGAAAGGGAACTTGCTCTACCAGTGCCAAAGAATAAAAAGACACAGAACGACAGTATTCAATTGATATGGTGATGGCTATTTCTGTATTGAGCCAAAGAGTCATGCCCTCACCATACCCCTTGTATCACTCCTGCACTGAGATGTGGAGCTGGTTGCTCATTTGTGCCTATTTTGGGCACTTGAAAGATGGCCTCCAGCCATATGGTCCCGCCTGCCTCACGAGCCCTGCCACTCCCGCTGCTCCCCCCCCCCATGCCTCCGGAGGTGAGGTGGGCAGCAGTAACCAGAGACGGGGCTTTTTCAGTAGTGGCACCCATGGAACGCCCTTCCCCTTAGGCTTGCCTGGCACCTACTGTATTACCAGGTTCAGTTTTTATTTCCTTTAGCCATGGGCCATTACAATGACAGAACAAGATATAAACTACTAAAACCAGAAAAATAAAAAGCTAATTTAATACACAATAAAACGTCTTAATATTCCAACTCTCCCATCCTGGTCTCCGTTAGTAATCGGGCTCTGGGGCTGCTACTATTCTCTTCCGAATTTTCTCTGCAGCGAGGGCAAGGAGGGCCACCTTGTGTGAGCCCTCGGCCTCTGCGCCTGCTAGTAAGAAGACTAGACTCTTTTCTGTTTCTGTTCTAGTGCCTGGGGAGGCCAGGACTGGGCCTAGAAATGTCTTCCTAGGGGATTGGTAGAGTGGGAAAAGTAACAGGCACGGAGCCTCCACATGGGCAGAGGTGCTGGGCAGCAGGCGTGTGGGTATAGTGGCCTTCAGGCATTGCTGACTGCATTTATTGAAAGCGGATTGAAGTTAGTGCAGAACGTAATTTGCTATATGAGATCTTGGTTAAATATTGGGCCCTTTGATGGTCTGATTTGATTAGTTTGTACCAGGGTGAGGATTTATTCTCATGACTCGCCAAGTCTTTGGCAGCATCCTGGGTATATATTTGCTCCCTGCCATTAAAGTCGGTCCAAAGAGGCCGATGGATTACATCTGGAAGGTTATAGATTTGCAATATGCTAAGGCCTGAGGCTCAGGGTAGCGAAGATCATTAGCAGCTGATAATGATGGACCAGGGAATACCAGTGCTCCTGGGGAAGGGAAAGTATAGTGGTGGGACCAGGCAGAAATGGAATGGAAGGGGGCAGAGAAATAGAGAAGCTTGGCCACCTTCCAGCCTGTGTCCCATCCCAAAGATGGCTGGCATTGGGCCGAGGATTAAAAACCCCACTCCAACATTGGTATTGTGCAACACCAGGTCCATAAATAATAAGACCTCAGTCCTTCGGGACTTCTTGCTGGAGCAGGATGCAGACCTGGCATGCGTGACTGAGACCTGGGTGCAAGATGAGGAGATAGTAGCTCTCTCCCAGTTGGCTCCTCCCGGGTTCTCAGTCCTCCACCAATCTCAGATTAAGGGGCAGGGGGGAGGAGTGGCCCTGTTCATTCAGGAGGCTTACTCCTTCAGGGCGTTCCCAACGCTGAGGCTCACAGGCATTGAGTGTGCCAGCTTTGTGTGGGAAGCTGGAGAGAGTTTGCCTATTGTACTGACCACCCAACACACTGACCGATAGCCTGTCATCCCTGGTGGAGGCCGTGTCGGACTGGGCATTGGAGCACCTTAGACTGATAATCCTGGGCAACTTCAGTGTCCATACTGACGATGCAGCTTCCTCACAGGTGGTGGACCTGGTGTCATCCATGGCGGTGCTGGGAGTCTCCGAACATTTATTGGCTCCCACCCACAGAGCCGGTCACACGCTTGATTTGATCTTCGCGGCGATGGCAGTTCCATGGTCGGACCACCATGGCCTGAAGGCCCAAGTGAATGTGTCACCCCAAACTTCTTTGGGCAACAAGCGTATTTTAGCTTGCCCACGGAGCCAAATGGACCCTTTGTGGCTTCAGATGGCCCTCCGGGATCCAATGCCCCCTCACAGCTGGCTAGATGAGCTAGTTGAGGACTGGTATAGCCAACTCTCTACAGCCATCGATGAGATCACTCCCAGGCACCTTCTGCACCTTCGCTCTAGGCTGGCTCTCTGGTATACCCAGGAGCTGAGGCTGATGAAGCAAAGGCTCAGATGGCTAGAGAGACAGTGGCGGCAGGCTCGTGATGAAGCAACAAGAACATCCTATAGGACGTTTATGAGATCCTATGAAATGGCAGTCAAAGCTGCGAAGAGAGAGTTCTATGCAGCCATGATTGCATCTGCAAGCTCATGCCCAGCACAATTGTATAGAATGATTTGGTCCTTAACAGTCCTGCCATAGTCAACCAGATACCATTCAAGAAATTTAAAAAATAACGTTGATGGATTTTGTGAAAAAAGTCAAATATTTAGGAATAAACTTGACTAATAAAAGCAGCTCATTAATAGAGGATAATTACTACAAATTGCTAGATGAAATTAAAAACAATTTGTTAAAATGGAAAGACATACCTTTATCTATCATGGGCAGAATTGCAGCAGTAAAAATGAACATACTGCCAAGATTTTTAGTCTTGGCACAAAACATTCCTATTATAAAGAATCAGAATTTTTTTGTGGAGCTAGATAAAATTACCAAAAAGTTTATATGGCGTCCTAAAAAAGCAAGAATAAGATGGAAAATATTACAGGATTGAAAAAAAATATGGGGGATGAATGTACCCAATTGGTTTCTATACTATAAGGCGGCCACCCTTGTCTGGATAAGAGATTGGCTTTTGCTAGAAAACAAGAGGATTCTAGCACTTGAAGGGCACGATTTGTTTATGGGTTGGCATGCTGACGTATGGTATGATAAAGAGAAAATACACTCCAACTTTAAGAGTCATGCGATAAGAGGAGCATTAAATAAAATTTGGAATGAAATAAAGGTCAAATTTTATACTAAAATTCCAAGATGGGTCTCCCCATTAGAGGCATTTACAAAACCTTCATCTCTCTGAGTAAAAATGGAACATATGAAACATTATTGGGGAAAAATACTAAAAAAATGGAAGAGAAATTGGTACGCGAAAATAATTTTTCCTGGTGGGAGCACATATTAATATGAGATAGATATAGTAAATACGTTAGAGGGTTTGAAGAGGATAAAAATGAACTTGACAAAATATGGTTGTCCTCAAATGATAAATTAATTCAGAAACTTTATGGTTTTCTATTGGATGATTTTGAATTAGATGAAACTATTAAAGAAGCGATGATATCATGGATGAAAGATTTGGGAAAAAATATAGAAATAGAACAATGGTCTAAAATATGGAAATCCATAAAATATATGAGAGCAGTAGCCTACAAAGAGAATGTGAATAAAATGTTCCACAGATGGTATTGGTTCCCAGACAAAATAGCTAAATGTTATAGTAATGTATCCAACTTATGTTGGAAATGTAAAACGAATGTGGGAACCTTTTATCACATGTGATGGAAATGTAAGAAGGTACAAAATTATTGGAAAATGATACGCAAAGTAATACAAGAAATTTTGGATTTGAATCTTACTTTAATACCAGAAATCTATCTGTTAAATATGATTCCAAGTGGATATAATTTTAAGGATGCATATCTAATATCTCTCTTTTTTTAAATAATCTGTTTATTAAATTTTCAACAAATATAACTCACTCGAAGTGAGACAAACTAACACACCGCCAAATGTACATATTTACAGAGATCTTCCATCATATAACTTAGATGGTTCCAACTTTGGCACCAAAATAATATAGTTACGTTAATTTACACCCAATCTTGACTCTTTCAACCAATCATAAAATTTTTTCCAATGTTTGTCATACTTTTCCATATTTCTTTCTTCAACAATACAGGTTAGTTTCTCCATTTCTGCAACATAAAATAGTTTACTTAAAATCTCATCCTTGGAGGGAATACATTCCTCCTTCCATCTTTTTGCGAATACAATCCTCGCTGCCGTTAGTATCTGCATAATTAAATACAACTCTTTTTCTTTATATGAATCTGGTAACATGCTTAACAAACAACACTCAGGTTTCAAAGGGAAATCTTTCCCAAGCATTTTATCTATAATTTCTTTCACCATAGCCCAATATTTCCTTGTTTTGGTACAAAGCCACCACATATGGTAGAAAGTACCAGTACAAAATTTACACTTCCAACAATTTTTCCCTATTTTCCCGTTGAATTTATTTAGTCTATCCGGTGAGATATGCCATCTGTAAAACATCTTTATAATGTTTTCCTTGAAAGCACTTGTTCTTACAAATTTTATATTTCTTGTCCACACTTTTTCCCATTGTTCAACACTCAAATTATAGCCCCAATCCTGCATCCATGCTATCATTGATGGCTTTATCTGTTCCTCTTCCATTTTCCACTCCAACCAAAAATTATACATTCTTTTAATAAATTTCTCTTTTGTATTTAACCATATCTTATCTAAATCAGTCTATTATAGATGCCCACCTGTTTGTCCTTTGTCCATCTTGATATTAGTTGGTTTTTTTCCCACCATGTCAACTTTGTACCTTTTTCTTGAAGCCATTTCTCCAATACCAACTCTCCCTTTGAGTCTAAAAGATCGTCATATCTCCATTTCGAATATTTAATATATAAAGAGGGTATTTGTAGTGCTTCTATGGGTGAAATCCACCTAGGTAATTTTGTATAGTATTTTACTTTAATCTCCTCCCAGATTTTATATAGCGCCGCTCTAATGGTATACTGTTTGAAAAGGGTGGCCGGTCTGTCTTTATTATACCACATATAAAAATGCCACCCCCTCTGTATATCGTGTCCCTCAAGACTCAATATTCTCATATCATCTTGTACCATCCAGTCCCGCAACCAATTCATAGCCGCCGCTCTATAATATAAGGCCCAATCCGGTAGAGCTAAACCACCTCTTGTAAATATCTTAGCTTTATTCTTGGCTTTTTTTGTTGCCATATAAAATCCTTTACTAACTTCTCCAATTTTTTGAAGAACATTTGATTTCTTAAAAT